TCTATAGAAAAATCAAGTCCCACACCCATATGATAACTTTTCTAGAGATCCGTGCCAAACTTTAATGGTGATCCTTTGGGGTCCTACACACATGGGTGGGGGAGGGTCCTATAGGATCATTACTCTATATATAAAATCATATATATTATTTTAAAAAATTGGGTGGATTCTGTATCGGATCCACCTATACCTGGATCTGACCCGAATTACCATTCGGATCTCGATTTTGGATCCAAATCCAAAACTTGGATTCATAATCGAATCTGAAATAGGATCCAAATATCGGGTTTCGGATCTGGAATGGGTAAATTCTCAGCCCTTGAAATTGTATATACTGATATAAGATTCATGTAATTGAAGTAATGTTTATTGTATTGAGAAAAAAATTTTAATTTGTGCCACTTGGACTTGGCTTAATACACTATCAAGATCTACTGAAATAAACTTCAAAACTTGGACATAACAAGTTCAAATTTATGAACCCCATATCTTTCTAATATGTCTTACTAAAAGAAACTTCAAAACTTGGAGAGAACAAAATTAAATTTATGAACCCCATCCCTCTCTAGTGTGTCTGCCTCCACTGTCATCTCTCCAACTTCAAAACTAGGAGACAACCAGTCAATAAGAGAGTTTTTAAGGTTTTTTATAGGAGAGCAAATTTTAGAGAGAGAACCAAGTAGTTTTTCCAAGAGAGAAGAAAACATGAGGTGCGTGTGGCATAAAGAGAGGGGTGTGGATGTTTGAGGTGGCGAAGCCCTTTATCAAACTGTACAAGTTTTTGAGAAAGCCTATTTTAGAAACTTTTGAAAAATTTGGACGTAAAAATTGAAAGGCATTGATAGGGGTCCTATATATTTCACTATAGATAAGAAACATACTTCGACTACCAAGATAACCCAGGCATGCAAGATACAGAATTCCTAAAATGTAAATCCTTTACAGTTGAGTGGAATGATATCCAATCAACAAACACACATAAAAACAATTTCATGTGAGAAAAAACAAAAATAAGTAGTAGTGCGAAGAAGAAATCTTTGAGTCTCCATGAACTTTACCAAAATTTCTCTCTTGTTTAACAATTCCACTGCAGAGAAATCACAGAAAACAAATATCCCTAGCTTTAAATCAAATAAAAAATGGAAAAGTAGGGTTTCTACCCAAAAGCAGTCAAACTTATTCAATATATGTTAGAAGATGGATAAACAATTCATAGATAGAATTTAGTAATCTTCCTTGCATTAAAGACCATGACCATGAAACTTTTCCAACAATGCTTAATGTCAGAAAGTTCAGTATGAATAAAAGATTTAAATAAATCTCCCTCCAAACTTATCTTTGATACAGATTAGTGAAAGAAAACATCGTAAACCGTAGCTAGTACATTAAAGTTTTTAATCAATTGTTTCTAACTTATTCCAAGAGCTCTATGACTGTTAGTTTAGAAGAACTTTTCACTTTGAGGTAGCTAAAAGATTGGAGGGCACTTCCATTACATGAGCAAAAGCCGGATCCCCCCAAAAAGCCGATGCAGATCAAGATATGGTAAATATGACGTATATTTATGTGATATAATTGCCACTTGTATGTGGATATCATACCTGTGTCAGAGACACCCCCACTTGATGATGCCAATGGCATGCAGCAAAAGATGGCCAAGCCTATTACATTCAACTACCAGACGTCAGAAGGTAATCTACTAGAAACCTATTATGTGATTCACTTACAAAGCCCACCAAGAAAGCTACAGTCTTAAAGCTCACAGAAAGGACCACTTACAAACTCTTAAAATGTCAACTCAAGTTGTAGAAATGATCTTTGGAAAAAAAGGAGTGAAAAACAGAATTGAACCCTGAAGTACTGAGAGGCTATTAGCAGCCAAAAAAGAAGCAACTCAAGACACAAGAATGAATTACAAGATATATCAAATGCATCCAAAATGCCAACGTTTATACATATTATAGTTGTAAGCATCATATATAACAGTATATAACAGCAACAAAAAAAAAACTTTATAAGAAAAATGAAGTCATTTAGTTAGAAGAAAAAAAGTGAAAATCAGCCACAATCATATAAACATGATATATCTCACTGATAACTACATAACACAGCACTTCATATTAAATCAACCCAGCTCTCACCACTTTGGGCATTGCATTTGTACAAATTACATCCCAAAGCATAACCACCAGAAGAACAACAGTAAAAGAAACACTTTTGCAAGCCCAAAGTACAAATTCTTTCTTTCCCAGGAAGATAAGAGAAGGGATCATGGGATATGCAGTGATATAATAAAATTCCTGAAGAGATCAGCTGCACAAGGAAATATCACTCTACTAAATTCAAGGGGGATTGGAAAATGGGATGCTTTGAAAACAGCTCCAGAGATTCATTTGCTTAAATACACTGTAAGGAGTGATCTCTAATAACAGAAAACCACGCTCATTTTATGAACAAGAAAGGAAGAGTGTCCAAAGAATATACAGAAAATAACTAAGAGCCTTTAAAAATCATGTTTATATAATGAGGGAGGGTAGCTGGCATGGGTTCAAAGTGTGATAGAGGGTAGTTGGGATATTGGAAGACCAGGTAGGGCCATTTTCAGCAGTCAGATGGGAAGCAATGGTGGACGAAAATGCCATGTAATGACAATATAATTTGAAGGGGGTCATTGGGAAGGAGGTCGATGGGAACGGAAACATGGATATGGAGTAGGGTGGTTTTAATATTAAGATTGACCAAAAATGATGTACTCGTCTCTCAAGGATAAAAATTGTTGAACAGCTCCTTGATTTTTGTCATAGACACTGGATATCATACAAATTGTACAATTTTCTACAGTACTTTTAAGGCATCTCTCAAATCACCAGATATGGAGTAAAGTTCATTTAAATTCCCAAAATCACGTAATGGCGACATAATGACTTGTAGTGCAGCAGGTAAGAGTTCAATCAATCATATCAACAACAAATAATGGGAATTACCTAGTGGTAGAAACTCCTTAAAATAAATCCAAAACCGGCCGCCCCCACTTAGAACCATATTCAAGATCAAATTCGATGAATGGTGTGTCACCATATTCTATTTGTGACGTACATAGACATTATCTATGTGGCACATAGTCATACTGACTATAAAAAGAAAAATACCGATGCATTAATGTAATAAAAGAAAATAATCCAGAATTGACATAGGACGGAAAATCCAAGAACATTCAAGAAAGCACACCCACAATCCATAACTGTAGCACGAAGGAACTAGCACAAAATGGAGTATTCGATAAAAGATGAACGACACATATTGGACAAGATAATTTAGAACTAGAAACTATGTAAAGTTGCACATGATTAGAAATATGAAAGGGTATTAGTGTCCAATAAGCAGTCAAGTTGCAAATTCAACACGAACCTTTAATTACACAAAATGAGAAGAACACCATCACCCATAAACAATAAAAACAAAGTAATAATTTTCCTTTTCTTTCTGTTGTATATCAAAACAACAAAGAAATTTCTAACATACTCGTAATTTTTTACATATTCCATGAGTTGTATAAGCAAACTTACAAGAAAAGAATGAATGGTACTAAATGGATTCAATGTTTTGAACCAGCAGCATGTAATTTTAAGAAATAAAAACTCATACAAAGAGTCTAGACTCTGGTTCCTACTTTTTGAGAGGTCAGAGCAACTCTTTTTAACATATTTCATTTAATAATCTAACTATTATGTTTAATAATTATGTCACAAACAGTTAACTTGAGCTTTAAGAAACCATCTGCATGCTCCAAAGTGAGCTGGAAATAATCTTCATCATCAAAATTGACAAAGAGATCTGCATTTTACTCTACATACATCACACTTTGAAGAAGAATGAAACCTGGATGAAAACATGCCACCAATAACCAGTAACAAACTATCATCTTATACCATAACAATGATGCAAATTTCTGATAATTCCCCAACATTCTTAATCCCCCGCTGGTTTTCCATATCCTATCCATAAATCAACAAAATTAATTTACCAAACAGCGCAATTCATGGTTTCCGTTACTTATTCATTTATTAAGTTTTTCATGATTCAGATGTTGTATCAACCAAGCAATGGCCCATCATTTTCCATTTCTCACTCTTCAAACTCATGAAATTCTCCAAAAGAATAGCACACAAGAGATAATTATCAATATCTACAAATGAATAGAGAGAAAGTACCTGATTACCACTGGCTCAATAAATATTCCGGATCAAGGAATTAGGTTTACCTGAGAAATTTTATGGAGGAAATCGGGCTCTCGTAATTAGGGTTTCAAACAAGAGGCAAAGCAGAGATGAAGAAATTGTTCATGGAAAAAATGGGAATTTTTTGGTTAAAATTTAACGCTTAAACATAATTCCTTCATGCCGGTAGGTCAGCCGTTCAAAAATTAGGGTTTCGCTTCGAGCAGGGAAAATGGCGAAATACAGTTTTAAGTAACTGAACGATTTTGGTCCTCGTCTCAAACTCAAATCAAATACTCAGCCGTAGTTTTAAATTTTCGCCGAAATCTGAGAAAATTCGATATCGGCTTATCTTTCCGCGCCTTGCCCTAACGGTCAGGGGATCACGGCCGTTAGAACATCTCCAGGTCCACAAACAGGCATTACGGAAGGGGTAGACGTTTGAAGAGGTAACGGACGTTATATCACTGCAATGGGCGTGGGCGTTAAACTGGAGTAGTTAACGGAAACAAGTGGCAAACATTGGAGAAGGACCCGGTTTCTATGGAGAAGGACCCGGTTCCTATGCGGCCATGCCCACATGTGTAGAATTGAGGGCCTATTAATAAATTTATTTTTGAGATGGATTTTTGGACTTAATTTTTACACATATATCAGTTATATTTTACGTTATTACAGATGTATCGAACAGTTTCTATTATTATATGTCTACTCTGTTTTTTATCTTTCATAACACAATTTTTTTAAAAAGATGACTTTACCTTTTTTCGGGCGTTCAACATCCGAATTGAAGGGTTTTTTGGACGTTCAACATCCAAAAATAGCCGAAAGTTTATCGTTCGCAGTCATATTTTCGGATGTTGAACATCCGAAAATGTCATATTTTCGGATGTTGGACATCCGAAAATAGAACATCAGAAAATAGCACATTTTCGGATGTTGACTGCAAAATATGAACGTTAAACTTTCAGGCTATTTTCGGATGTTGAGCATATGAAAAACCCTTCAATTCGGATGTTGAACACCCGAAAAAAGATAAAGTCGCCTTTTTTAAAAAATTATGTTATCAAAGGTAAAAAATGGATAGACATATAATAACGAAAAAATTTTGGTACATCCGTAATAACGTCAAATATAACGGCTATGTATGTAATTTTCTCTAATTTTTAAAGCCATGTAATCCCTAACGTGAAGATCATAAATATGAAAAAGGGAAAGTATATAATGAGACCATTTACCTTTGGTACCAGGTGGTCACAATTAATATTAACCATTGGATTTGAAATTGGGTGGCTACATTTATTTCATTGACCAAGCTCAAAGTTCAAAAGAATGTTTCTCAAACTTCGTGACACACTTAAGGTATCAAATTTCATATCGAATGATTGCAATTAATTATGACCTTCCTGTACCAAAGGTAAGTGGTCTCATTGTCTACAATCCAAAAAAAAAAAAAATTAAAAACTAGAAATAATAACTCTAGTAAGAAAACATTTTGACTGTTAGTTTTTATTGTTTTTAGATAGAATACCTACTTCCATCCATTCTTAAGATGGATGCTTTACACTTTTTGGATCACATATGTAGAAATGCGGTCCAACCCGCATGAAACAATTTTCTATTGGTGAAACGTGGATGTTGGACTAAACAACAGGGAAATGAGGCTTATTTTTATAAGGGATTGCATATGACATGACCATTCACTCTTGATATAATTATCATCATCATCATCGTAGTCTTTTTCTTAACTATTTGAAGTCGGGAATATAAATCCTGGTCCGTCATTCTACTCTTTCAAGGACCATGCCTTATGTGAGGCGAATCTTGATACAAGGTCACATTATTATAAGCTATTGGATGTGAAACCTGACAGGTTAAAGTGTATTACAAGTTTTGAGAAATTTCATTCTATACTTGTGCTCCTTCAGTGAACTTCTCGAACCACTAGATTTCACATCCAGTGGTCAATAACGATCGTGACATCCTTATAGCGAAAGTAAATGGCCTTATTGTATACATTTCCTTCTTAATATCTGCTGTGCAAATTTAACGACCAAGATTCAACCTGAAGTTGATCCCTTTCTGTACTTTTTTGCTTTAGGTATGGCCAACATTGGTTCGTGGAGTTAATTCACTGCCAAAATTAGGACCAAATGCCGATTTTTTATTGTATTTGGATATGGTTCAGGCCAGTAATTAAAAAATGGAAATCCAGGTAGGGTTCATTGGATCTGACTCGAGTGATTCATGAGTCAAATAGTCGTACGGATACAATAAAAAATGACAAAAAACAAATCTAAAAAGTAAGGTTACAAGGTTTCTCAACCAGAATCACACTTACCAGAGTGGTGGTCTGATTTCAAATCAAGTTGGTAATTATTTAATCACTTGTCTGAACAGTGCGGATCCTATGTAAGATGTTTGATGCACAAAACGATAAATCTTTCTCTAATGCTATCAAAATGCAGTCAATCATTCTCTCTCTCTTTTGTTGGGGGTCCTAATCTACATTATTGAGTGTAGGGCCAATGATATAATGCTACTTTTGTGTGGATAGGCCTTCTTGTTTTGTACATAAGCGACACTTTAGCCTTAGCATAGGGTGCACGCCCTACAAAGGTCACCCTTCTTTTCCATTTCCTTGCCATTTGCCAACACAATCCCCTTTGAATTCCCATAGTGGCACAAAGTAGGTGCCCAGAATGCCCTCAGCTACAATACTAAACATTTACAATATTACATGGATTGTTTTCTAGTGAAAAAGTGAGACAATACTGATCCTTTGCTTTAGTATTGTTGTTGAAATAACACGAGTATCAAATCTTTAAATGACTCAAAAGCTTTAGTATTCATCATCTTTAGTAATAGCATAAGACCATTTGAAGATCCAAGGGATCTCATATAAGATGGTAAATTGGACTAGGGTCTCTATTTTAGGCCAGTTTTTGTTAGCTGCTTCAAATTTTGACAGCGAGCATCATAATTGTTTGGGATAAATATCTGGGTCAGGTCCCCAGTATAACATCCATTTTTTAAACCATGAGGGTAATTCATTTATAGCTTCATTAAACCTGAAATAGATAAACCAATTGTGAGTATTTTGTTTGTTTTGGACTATCAAAACCTTTTCCCAGGCTTATTCAAGACAGACTTGGTCTCTTATTCAGTTTTAATTACATAATCACTTCTGAACTTAAAAGTTCCCTTACTCTATATTTTAGAAGTAGAGACCTTAGGAATATTCCAATTGTTTAAGTCCTTTTCTATGTTGGCAATAACATTTTTTTCAGAATTCCTAACTGACTTACCAGATGAATTGGACTCAACATTAGATCTCTGAGAACCGATTCTGAAAAGTCTTGTCATCGAGTCAATAACGTAATTACGCACAAAAGTTAGCCGAGTCAATGAATTAATAGCCTGTCTTCAACACTGTTTACGACTTTGGCGACTTATGGCGGCTTATTACTATTACGACTGTGATGAACATAAAAATGACTCTAAAAGAGGTGAGTATAAGAAAAACAGAAAATACCATAGAAAACAAAAAAAGAAAACATTCAATTCAGGCAAGGAAGATCCTGAACCTAAGAATAAGAAACCAAAAAGAAAAATACCTATTTGTAAAAAGTGTGACCGTTATGGGAATTATGCAAATAGATGTAGAACAAAACAAAAAATTAATGAAATTTTTGATTAAGGACTAAGAAGACAATTAGAGCAAATCCTCATTATAGGAGATTCTTCTAATGAGGACTTATCTATTTATGAGACAGACTCAGAAGATGAAGCTTTGGATATCAACATTGAAACTTCTGATACTAGTGAGACTGAAGAGGACTGTAAGTATGATAATTATTGAGCACGTCAAGCGGAATGGGATTAACAAAACATAACAAGTAAAATAACATAATGATATTAACAAAACATAACAAATAAAATAACAGATTAAGATAAACACATCAATTTATAAATAAAAAGTAAAGTATTGGAATACTTACATAAAATTAGAAACACCAGCACACTCTAAAACTTTTACAATCGTTTTAGAGAAAGAGAGAGAGAATAGAGAGTAGGAAAGAAGGCTAAGCAAACTTCAAACTTAAGCACACTCTGAGCGATGCCTTCTTCAAATGAGAAGTCCTCTATTTATCATCTCGGACTTCAAATTTCATACATCCCAGTTTTCTTAAAAGCGGATGTCAGTCCATTGATTTCCTGCTAGGCGGAAAGACGAGGGTAGTGGATGTCGGTAATGTCGGTGGTACTTGCTACGTGGAAAGGTAGGAATAGTGACAGATGGTGTTGGTGGTAGCATATTGGTAGGGACATTTGTCCTTTGGTGTGACAAAAAGGTATCGGCAACATATTAGTAGGGAGACATGTCAGTATAATAGGGACACCTATCTTTTGTTTTGCCTTAAAGGTGTTGGTAGGATTAGTGGGCTTTGTATCCTTGATAGAGTGGAGTCGGGCTGGCCCAATAGTCTGCTTTATGTTTGATGGATCGGGGGTAGAATCTCCAAACAGTCATCACCGTTTAGGTTTCTTTCTTCTTCACTGACTGACATTGAGTCTTCTTCGAACATTGATAATAGTTTTTCTTTGAGTTCTTCTTTTGACAAATTTGGATTTTCAGTCTGTAAAAGCCTTAAATATGAGGTTGTACCTGTTGGTTGGTTAAGCCCAGGTGTATTGACTTTAATTTTGATGATTTTAATGGTTTCGGGAACTAAGTCTTTAATATCAAAACTGTCCCACCATTTCATTTGTATTATTCGTTCAAGATAGGGGATATGATCCCAATTTTCATCATCTTCAGTAACAATATAAGACCATCTGAGGATCCAAGGGATCTCATATAAGATGGTAAATCGGACTAGGGTCTCCATTTTGGACCAGTTTTTGTTTGCTGCTTCAAATTTTGACAACGAGCATCGTCATTGTTTGGGATATATATCTGGGTCAGGTCCCCAATATAACATCCATTTTTTAAACCATGTGAGTACTTCATTTATGGCTTCATTAAGCCTGAAACAAATAAACCAACTGTGAGTATTTTGCTTGTTTTGGACTGTCGGAACCTTTTCCCAGGCTTCGATGTAGTTATAATAATTATAGCTCTTGATTTTAGAGCAAGTATTTCTAAAATACCTTAGCTTAAGGGATTGAATCCCCAATCTTTATAGGCCAATATTCTCTTTATTCCGATTTTTTAGTAGGCCACAATGTCATGCCCTCTATAGTTCCGGAAGACTTCTATTGATCCTGTTTCTTTAAGGATCGTTTCATAGAACATTTGAGACTTAAATTCGTCTTAGGATGCATATGATTTATTAGGTAGATTTTTGCAATCTCATTTGGATTAAGATGTATATGAATATTATCTATTGGTAAGATGTAAAGATAAGATTTTTCCTTGTATTCAGATGACTGCATTAAGTCTTTACTTGTATTTGG